CCCCCCCCCCCCCCCCCCCCCCCCCCTCTCTGTTGTGTGTTTTTCTCTTTCTGCGCGTGCAGCAGTAGCAGCGAAGGCGCGCAGGGAGGCAGCCCTACGGGATAAGCGGTGCAGGCAAAGGGGCGGGGGAATTTACGGGCGGCACCGCCCTGTGTGCTGCCGGACTCTGCTGTATGTGCCGTTGGTGGGAGGTTGCGTGTCCACTGTTTTTTTCGCCTCTCGGTAGAAGTCGAAGAACCGGTGGGAGGGGTGTCCCGCCCCTGTCAGGCGTACTGGCAGCAGACACGCGCCGTAAAAGCCGACGTCGGCGGGTGCTCAATAGCGGCTCCATCACGGAGGATAGTTTTTCTCAAAGCGGAACGATGTACGTGTTCGAAGAAGAGCTGTCGGCAACGTCGTTGTTTTTGTCGTTTTCGAGTGGAGCCGTTTTGCCGGCAATTTTTAACTCCTGCGCTGGGGATGTCTCGGTCGAACAATCCGCTACCAAGGACCGAAAAGTGGCGTTTTTGTTGCGTCATGGTTGGTGATGCGAAACGGTCGGCTTCGCGACACCGTTTTTAGTGGTTCATATCATGCCGTTATGGAAATGTGCCCGGTAGCATTCCTACCTCTCACCCACGCTCCCGCGTTTGATCGTTATTCAAGCCCCGCCCTCCCCCCCCCCCCACGGTCCCGCGTCCCCACCGCAACCAACACCAAAACTCGACCGGACTTGTGGGGGGGAAACGCCGCCAGGCGGTAAACGCGAGCGACTTCGCCATCGCGCAGTTCCGCTTCCTCCAGAAGCTTATGCTCTTCCACGGGAGGCAGAACTACCGCCGCATGTCGAAGCTCGTCGCCTACACGTTCTACAAGAACATCCTCATGGCGGTGCCTATGGCGTGGTGAGCAATAGGAAAAGCGAAGCAGCAGGCCCAAGCGGGAGGTAGTGCTGTCGGTGTTGTGTTAAATTTTTTTGTTACTGGTTAAAATCGTTTCTCTTGGACCCCCCCCAAGGTAGGTGCTGCTGTATTTTTCGTGCCCCGTCCCTTCACCTGCGGTGATGACCCCGGGTGCTTGTTGCGGTGTTCGAGTTTGCCATGCTCATCGAGTGTCGTTGTTGTTGCTGTTGCTTTTTATACTGCTGCTGCTGCTGCCGCCGCTTCTGCTACCACTACTGCTGCTGCTGCTGCTGCTGCTGCTGCTAAATACCTCTACTACTGCCGCTGATGCCGTTTCCATTGCCGTCCTCGTGGCGTGAAACAAACCACCAGGTACATGGTCGTGAACGGGTACAGCGGGCAGAAGTTCTACACAGAGGGAGGCATCCAGTTCTACAACATCATGTTCACCCTTTGGCCCATCCTCTTCCTCGGCTGCTTCGACCGAGACGTCAGCCTCAAGGACACCGAGAACTTCCCCCAGCTGTACGTGCTGGGCATCAACGACGTGTTCTTCAACGCGAAGGTGTGTGTGGGTGTGTGGGTGCTTGTGGGGGGACGGTAGAAGGGAAATGAAGGGGGTCGCGGTGTTGTGGGGGTATGTATATTGGTCCTTCTCTTTTGAGTGTTTTTCGTTGCCGTTGTTGTGTGTGTGCGTCTTTGTTATTATAATCGACCGCGCTAACCAGCTGACCGATGAAAATATGGCAGTCTAAGCGCGGTGGAAAACACAAAATGCTCCTATGGGCCACGAATCTGGGACCCTGTGACCGAGCGTCATGTGTGTGTGTGTGCGTGTCTTTTTTATTAGCATCGACGGCGCTAACCGGCTGACCAATGAAAAGACGTCAGTCTCAAGTGTGTGTGTGCACTCGTGGGGTTCGTTTGTGTGTCCGTCTTTCAGTTGTGATTTTGGACGTTGTAGAAATGCCTTCTCATCACAACAGCAGCAATTGTGTGTGTTGTTTGAGTTTTGATACGATGCTGTTGAAATACCTTCTGCAGATCACGAATGAATACGGCAGCAACAGCACCAGAACCACAGGGGGGGGGCAGCGCCCCAAAGAATGGCGTCTTTCCGCGCGCAACCGTGCCAACCACAACCAGCATCTCCCCTCGCGATACGTCAATGTCCCAAAACATTCTTCCACCCTCCTCCATGCCACCCCGCTCTCCCAAAACGTCCTTCCGCCCCCCTCCTTCCCTCCCACCCCAGGTGTTCTGGAGCTGGATGTCCCAGGCGATTGTGGAGGCCGCCCTCATCACCTTCGTGCCTCTCCTCCTGCTCAAGGGGGGGCCCGCAGACGATGGAGCGGAGGTGTCGTACATGTTCTACGGGGGCACGACTTTCTCGCTCGTGGTGCTGCTGGCCAATAGCAAGGTGCGCGAATGATCTGCTGTAAAACCAATGACAACACCACAGCCAAACCAACGAAACACCACGAGCTACTAAGCCAATGAAAACATCACGACCTTAAAACCAATGAAACCACCACGAGCTAAACCGATGAAAACACCATAGGAGCCTTTGAACGCCGCCTCGCCACGCAGGAAGGTCGCCTCGTCCCCCTCTATCCGTAGCTCTAAGGTGCCAAGAGGGGGCGTGAATACTGCTGTCCCTGCAGCTGCTGTGTGCACTTGTGGGTGCGTGTCCTTTTCTTACTGTTTTTAACGAAGCACTCTTCGTGGAAGCCGGGATACAAGTATCTTCCCAGAGGTAATGACGCACATCGGAGTACACGAACAATGTTCTACCGTCCGAAGACATTTGCCAGGAAAACTTCACAGAACCTCGTGACCATTCATTCATGTGAATCTCGGAGATGGGGGAGATAGACGCCCACGAAGGTGCCCCCCCCCCTCTCTCACTCCCGCCTTCCTTGAACTAGCTATAAGCCGACACTACTGCTACGCTTGGTACCTCCTGGCCACAAATCAAGAAGAGACAAATACCTCCCCTGGTGAACGGTTAATAACCACTTCAGAGACCCTTGCTCGGTACCAGAAGAAGGGTATTCTCATCTTCCTTATCCACGGGTTGAAAGAGCCCGGGATGAACTTAAGCTTGCGATGGATTTTCATGTCTGTGTATTGTGTCTTTACATTACGTCGGCCGCGATGAACTGGCCGCCGACCGCCGAAGTCAGGTGAATGCATGCATGTTGTCGGAGCACACGGTCGCAAGAGGCTTTCCTCTAGCCCCCCCGTTGTCCGTTGTGGTTCAGGGTGAAGGAGGCCGCACAATTTAGTGGTGTCCCGGTAAACCTGGAGAGCGTACTCTCGAACGAGTAGTCTTTCGTCCCGGGTGCTGCCTCCCTAACGCAAAAATAGTTGGTCAATAATAAATCGGCACACCTATATGTAATGCTCCTTCAAAAAGCAGTATTTAGTAAGATCGAACAGGACCAAACATCACGCTCACGTGGTATATATTGGAGCGTGTATGTAGGTGCGCTTTGCTTCCCTCAAGCTGCGCTTTATGTTCTAGAATCAAATACCAACCAGACCCGCTCTCTGGCGTACGACGGTCGTCTGATTGTTCCGGCAGATCCTGTGGCTGCAGTACAGGTGGACCTGGTGGGCAGCGGTGCTGGTGATGGCGTCTGTGCTTGCGTGGTTCGGCACCGCGTGCGTCCTGAACATCCTGCACAAGGTGGACTTCGACTTCTTCATGGTGAGTTTACAGACGCCTTGCGCATCGTGCAGCCAAAGCAACGTCGTGTGTTTCTCCTCTCGAAACGGTGCCATGCGTTTTTCTGGAGACTTGGTTTGGTCTAGTTTTGCATGGTTGTTGGTTTTTGCTGTAACGAAGGTTCCGTTTTCCGTTTAGTTTTGTTTGGTGCCACGGAGATTTATCCTTGCTCTTTCCTCCGCTTTTGCTCTTTTGAGAGCGAAAGCTTGGTGCTGCTGGGTTTCCAGAGGGCTTTTACTGTAAAACCTGGGCGCAGTTTGGCGAAGAAATTACACATGGTGGGCGGCATGCTCATACATGAGTACCCCCCCCCCCCACGATTACACTTGATCTCCGGCCGGACCAATCCAACCCTCCCTCCCCCGCCCGCCCGCCCGCGCGATCCATTTGCCACACCCAGGTGTTCTTCCACCTCATGGTAAACCCCACGTTCTGGGCGGTGGTGACCCTCTGCTTCACGGCCGTGGCGATGCGCGACCTGTCTTGGAAGTTCTACCACCGCTGGTGGCAGCCGAAGCTACACCACCTCATCCTGGAGGTGGAGGCCAGCCGCGGGGACCCCGTGATTCTGACGCAGACGCAGTGGGCGGAGGCCTCGGCGAGGGGCGCCGCGGTTGGCTGGGGCGGGGGCAGCGGGGGCGGGGGCAGCGGGGGCGGTGCCCGTGTTGGCGACATCCGCATCCATC